GGCGGTTCCACAGACTTTATACACGAGCGTAAATCTCTAGGAATGGAATGTATAGATAAGCGTTAAGAAATGATTGACCATTGCCGCTGCCACCATTGCTGCTTGTTCCGTTTGCAAAACACGAAAATTTGTTCAACGTGATTGCTATCCATACCGTACGGTAGGTGGAAAATATATTCATCACGTTTAGTTCAATGTAAATACAAATACTTTTATTTAATCATTTTGCATGCAATATTATAATCGCATTAGCTCTTTAATTTAATCCTGTCGTCTTCGACTTTTAACATATGGTTTTAGAATTTTGTCGACAAAAATTATCACTATCAAAATTCATCGAAATAACATTCGTGCCGAAGTCAATTTGAGAAATATTGGAATAAATATTAGATTTAACAAATAACAGCGTTTTACTTGTTTTCATTATTTACGAATTTCTATCATCGACTTAACATATTAATAAAATGTACGAAACATTCCTGAAACCATTTATCAAGATTCTCTTTTCCGATCTTCTAAAATTCAAATTTCAGCAGGAATTCAACTAATTGCTGATAATTGTATTGCGCTCAATCGTACAGCACTGTGCCGACTATCTTTAAAAAAATTAATAACTTAGAATCGTTATCGCTAGACTAAAGTATCCTCATGAATAAACAGATTGAATAGCTATCAATAAAGAGATTTATGTCGGAGCTGGAGACAGTTCGCAGCGGTTCGTCTCGACTTCGGTGGAAATGTTAGTCGCTTTCTCTTCGAAGTTACTCGCGGAAGATGCGTTCGGCGACAACAAGAGAGGAACGTGCAATGTGCAGACTGTGCGAGCATAATACACAGAATGTCAACGGCTCTCTTGGGATACGATAGACAAGTTATCAGTAATGAATGCGAGAGTTGTGTCCCGAGCTACTCGTTTACGTTTCAAACAGCGTAAGTAAAAAAACCCATCGGAAGTGGTCTGCGTGCGGTTTAGCTGCGCTGCCTATTTTCTCATTCTTTCTTCGTTTGCCTATTTCCCGCCTGATCAGGCAAATTGATAACTCAAAGAATCAGTCGTAATGACGTCTAATTAATTGCGTGAAACACGGCGTTTGCGTGAAACCACCGCTGGCCGCGCAACCGTGAGTAATGGGCCGTGTATCCGTAATTATTAATTTCTAGAGCCGTTGACGGTTTTACAAAGTAGGACTATTTATTTTATTTGCAAAAATTGTATTACGGACGGGCCGATCGCGCTGCCGTTGCATCGCGCGTACGATAAGAAATTTATATTGTATGGAATCATTGTCCTGGCGCTAATTTCAAAGTATTTCGATGATGAATCAACCTATCTTCGCGGTACTTTTATGTTAATAATTATTTATAATACTTTTACAAAGCATCATATGTATTTGCTTTACATACGTCCGATTTAAATTAGTTGGAGATTACTGAGATCATCGAGAGATGTTACATGACCGCAATAAAAAACAAATAAACTATTCGTAACTGTAACAATAAACTGCGCTCGATTACTTTTGAAACGCACGCGGCAGCACGCGTCGATCATATGAACAAATATTTATGCAATGTTTCATCAAATATTCGAGTGAAATCTTTCAGCATTTTTCGATAAGTTCAGAAAGAATTTTTTTTTACGGATTCTTGAAACTGTCATCTTTTTTCACGTTCCATATTTCAACGTTGTTGAATAACATCGAAACATAGCCAATAGATTACACAAAACAGTACAAATGTGTAAGAAGAAAGTGACGAAAGAGTAATTATTGGCTTAGGAGCGCGGACCGCCGG